ATGTTCCGTTGTCAGAAAATCATTGTCTCCTGAAGACAGTGCCGTTTGGATGAGCCAGAATGTGATGAAACTCACACCCTTCATACCTAAAGATTAGAAAAACACAAAAACAAATATGGTTGATTAGAATTGCATGTATGAGACAACTTTGAATTTCCTGATGTATTTTATCTTTGTATGTTTGTTTTCAAATCTAAAAGTTCATGACGATGATGAGTTATTTGAATAAAAAGTTCTTTGGATATTTTACATCGTCCAATAAAATAATAAAATTGAACGACGTTTCGGAGATAGATAGAACTAATCCCTATCTCCGGGCATATCTATTGGGCCCAACAGAGTAGGTACCTGAAGACGGAGATAGAGCCCCGTCTCCGAAACGTCGTTCACTTTTATTATTTTATTAGCCGATGGAAAATATCCAAATAACTTTTTATTTGTATGTTTTTATTTCCCGGTATAACCGTTTTGGTATAAAAACAAATATATGGATTCGTGTACTGGTTTAAGACATGTATCTGCTTGTTCAAATTCTTTCTATGGATGTTTTGATATCGAATGTATATCAATAATTTTATTCTAATCTTAAATATTATTAATACTGTAATCCAAGGTTTTAGGTGTTTTTAAGATACCGATGGCAGGGTTCTGCATTGTGACGACTCGTGTACTTGTAGGTGGGTACCAACGTTTCGAAGGAATATACTGCTTCCATCTTCACGGTTGAACTAATATCTGTACCCACCCTCAAGTCTACACGGCGTCACAACCCAGAAAGTCGATGGTCGCCATTGGCTGTGCGATAAGCAGTAGATTATCGTGAATTTCCTCAGAACCTCCAAGCAAGGTCTGAAGAGCCTCTTATGTATCGACTGTGATGAGCTGAATTATTTGACCCACGAAATGATTCAGCGACTGCGTAGCTACAAATGGTACAATTTTGGTTGCAATTGAATTATTATAAATAAAGTTTGACTTAAGATTTCTTCTGGGATGTTGTTCCGTGTAGTCTGATAAGATATCTCCCTGATGATGGTGGCAGTAAGCTCGTGTGAAACGTCGGTCATCGTCTACCAGACTGCACGGTGTAACGTCACAGAAGACAGTCTTCGTCATAATTCTTGCCGTGAGAAGCCGAGATCTCTCAAACTTAGACTACCCGTCATGGTGGTGATATGCTTACTTGTTAGGAGCTTAAGTGACCTGTCTGATTCCCACGAAGAAATCATACGAACTGTACAATGTTCGTGGTTCTGAAAATATATACAGTATGTCCTGATTTCATTACATGTTTAATTCATATCCATTTCTGGTTACCTTGGTAACAATTCGATATACTATAACAAGTGATGGTTCTGTGTACTCATAAATAAAGGATTAATGATGATTACAGATTTGCTATAATTACCGGGAACGGTTTGTGCCTGTATGCCCACTTTTCATGAACGACTTAGGACATTAGGATAGATCAGTAGCTGATTTGATCAGTTCTGAATCTTAAAGTGTAGATTTCTCTTAGGACGTGTTTCAGTCAGGTGCAGGAAAACTATTTATGATATTTTAAAATTTCTCCGATGCTGATATTTTTCATGACATGAAATAACTACAAAAATGATATAGATATGACTTCTTTTAAGTATCTCCTAAAATAATGAATCCGTTTTAAGTTTACGTTTTCTTTTGGCGAGATTAGTTCTGATTGTATTCAAATTGATTACGTTATTGTTTTGGGTTGTGATGCTATTTTTAGTTGACGAGCTTAAAAATCTGTACTGCTCCCCCAGTATTGTGAGGGTGATTAAGTCGAGAAGAATAAGATGGGCGGGACATGTAGCGCGCATGGATGGGACAAGAGGTGTGCACCGGGTATTGGTTGGGAAACCTGAAGGGAAGAGACCGTTGGGGAGACCTAGACGTAGATGGGAGGATAATCTCAGGCGGGATCTATGGGAGATAGGAGTTGAAGGAGACTGGATTTTGTTGGCCCAGGACAGGGTCCGGTGAAGAGCTTTGGTTAATTCGGTGATGAACCTTCGGGTTCGGTAAGCCATCTGGTTAGTTAGTTAGTTACTTAAGAGACAGATGAACCTGATAATAAATAAGACAAGAATTTTCATAAAATTCCATAACTATGACGGATATAAATTTTCATTTTTATTACCATTATGACCCTGCGTTTAGTCTCCTGTCAGAAACGACTATTTATTCATTGGGTTTGGACGTACAAACGTTTCCTATTCGATCCGTTCTGTTTTTGTTGGATGATGGCATTTCTGTTTGGTATCATTCATTATCTTTTCCTTTGTACTGTATCATATATGTCTATTTTCATCAGCGCTACACAAAAAGGGCGTGCACTGATAAACCATCGTCTTCAGATACGTTTTCGTGAAAAGTAATCACAAGTGTTTCTTTCTCCGTCATTAAGCATAGCCTATACCACTCGATACACGATCACTGAACTAATTACACAGAACATAGTCCTTCTTAATTACACAACTGTTCAACTGACCAAGAAGTTCCCATCATTTCATAGAATTCAAAGGTTTATTACCCTTTTCACAAGAGCTCTCGACCGGTTCTTATCCTCAGCCAGATTAATCCACTCTATGCTCTCAGATCTATTCTTTTTCCAGCCTCTTACCGTCGTTTCCGACTAAAATTCTGTGTTCAATTCGTATATCTCTTTATTTAATCATTCTAATAACATTCTATGAAGTTATGAAACACGTTATACCGATCGATTCTTCCTCTCGGCTCAGTCCGTCTTTACCTTAATGTAAGAGACCAAGATTCATGCCCATACAAGACAACGGGCAAAAATTATAGTTTTGTATATTTGAATTGTTGAGTCATCAGGCAGCCTGGCAACGGGGCAGGTTTTTCTCCATTTCTATTGTTGCAACGACTAAAACCTTGGATCTAATTGTTGCAACAACAATTTTTGATCGCATTGTTGCAACGACGACCTTTTGGTCGCATTGTTGCAACGACGACCTTTTGGTCGCATTGTTGCAACGACGACCTTTTGGTCGCATTGTTGCAACGACGACCTTTTGGTCGCATTGTTGCAACGACGACCTTTGATCGCATTGTTGCAACGACGACCTTTGATCGCATTGTTGCAACGACGACCTTTGATCGCATTGTTGCAACGACGACCTTTGATCGCATTGTTGCAACGACGACCTTTGATCGCATTGTTGCAACGACGACCTTTGATCGCATTGTTGCAACGACGACCTTTGATCGCATTGTTGCAACGACGACCTTGGATCCAATTGTTGCAACTACGACCTTGGATACTATTGTTGAGTGTGTTATTATCTTAGTAGCCCTGCTGAGGTCCTGATCCGTGGTTCGGCGTATAGAATGACTTTGAAATGTCAATGTGCCCCAATTTACAATCTTGTTTAAGTACAGCAGATCAATAATAGGCCGTGGCACTGCATGTAGCTTAAGAAGGACGCCATATCCGTTGACTCTGAGTTTTGGCATCTTATCTGTGGAAGAAGTGTGCAGTTTTGTCGTCATATTATTATACTTTTGGCTGCTAGAATCCTCACAACGCGTCGCAGAGGCGCCAGCTCCGGCGCTGAGGGCGTGCGAGAGACGAAAAACTGGGGAAGCATCGATCCCCTCTGCCCTGCTGATCAAAAAACGGGTACACATCAGTAATGGGCGAAGTGAGCTACGACGGCGAACAAATGACGTAGGTCGATGCGCGCTGTGGAATTTTGATTCATCTTCGGGTGGATTTGGGTCCCAAGTATGTTCGCACAGATAAGCGGAGGGGGTTTGGGGGGAGTGGTAATTCTGTCCTCAGAGCTTTATCTGCTTGTACAGTCCCAGGTTTTTCGTATCGTCTCTCACGTACTAAAGAGAGAACGTGGCTCGAGGGTGTTTGAGAATAAAGGGAATATTTTAATTTAAGGGAGGAGAGAAGGCGGGGAGGGGGTGGAGACTGCTGTGTGACGAGGGTCATTATGCGCGCTTTTCACCAAATGGCATTGCGGTGATTAAATGACGGTGAATGAGATGAACATTAGCCTACATGGGGAATTGGATTTAACTGGATCAGGACAGAGACAAGCGACTGGCTTCTGCTTTTATTTTCTTATTTATTTAATCATTCCGTCAGTAGGTCAGGTCATCAGCGTAGGATGATTACTGAATTAGAAAGGATATGGAAGGAAGCGAATGTGGTTGTTGTACCTGTAAATACTTGACTGAGGAAAACCATGAAAATGCCATCAGGACAGCTGGTATCCGGGCCGAGATTTGAACCTGAGACTTTGCGAATTAGACTCAGAAGTGCCGGTTACTATACTGAGACGTTCACTTCAAGCGCTTGTAAAAATTTTAATGAGCTTTCGGGCTCCGTGTGGATTCCTGACTGTACGGGACCTGCGACACATTTGTTTCCAGAAAAAATCGATTCATCCGTAAATTTACACGTGTCTTACGTGAAGATCCGATTGACGCCTGCGCACAAATATTATTCACTCTCGAGACGACATCACGTGATCTGTTTGCGTTAATTGCAAATGAAACCGCCAGGAGATGGACTGTGGTTGTTTTGTGGTTTTGGAGGTGTGACCTGTGACGTCATTGAACAAGGTCAACCTAAGGCCCCGAGATGGGCAGGGAACGACAAGGAAAAGGGTTGTCCCCGGCCGCGCTGCATCAGGAAGGAGATCATTTATCACATCAGCGTCATTAGGTGTACGCTTCGTTCCAAAAACATTCGCCTAGCAGTCCGTAAGCGGAACCCAGAGGAGATGCCATGTAATGTAGATGGGATGCACACGCGAACCTCCTCC